CGGGCCACATCAATGGCTAGAGACATTATCAGACATGGCCCAGTCGTGCCCTCAATGGTGCTCGTGCATCAAAGCTATTGCCTTCAATGCATAGCTCCTTTTCCACCCCCCCCCGCTTGACAACCCACTGACAGTGCTGGATTTATGCACCAATTCACCAGCTCGCGCGTGCAATGCGCAGCTACCTACCCCCCCCAAATCATCGGTGAACGAAACTCCGGCAGCTACAACCACTGTACGACACGCGGTCGGTTCTTACAGCTGACAATGATGATGATGATCACATCGTTCAACCACATGAGGGAGAACTCGACGAACTAGAAAAAGTGGTAGCCTGGGAATGATGATGATGATCACATCGTTCAACCACATGAGGGAGAACTCGACGAACTAGAAAAAGTGACTGGTAGCCTGGGCAGCGCACCCGCTCCCTTCCATCAGCTAGGCGCACTTAGCCGAATTGGATCCTTTGTTCCGCTCTCTCAGCTCAATCAAGAGTGAGGTGAGTCAACACAGAACCAGCACCTGGCCGCCTGAGTGGACCGTGATTTTATCGACTGAATGAATCGGGGAAACGAAACCCCATACGGCGTAAGCTGGTGGAGACGTGAAAGCTGGCACAGTAGGTCGTAGCTAAAGATTTGATCCAAACGATCCTACATTATCGCGGGAGCCCATAGGCTAAACATGCCACGTCGATTCGTCTATGAAGTAGTAAATGCCAAATTAAGGCGGTAGAGCTTTGGGCTACAGGGTGGTTGGTAGGTAGAGAGGCACTGTCCTCTGCTGTGGGACAGCTAGCATTACCCACGTACGAGCAAGCAAACTACGAACTTCAGATTTGTCACACTGCGATGACACTGAGGCCATAACATTAAAATCGGGGAGTCCCTCATAACTCCAGATAATAACCTCGTAGTATGAAGTTAACGTTTAACGCCCACAGATAGCGTCGCCATGAAAAAAAACGCGTTGAGGAAACTTTCCCAGCCATTTACTGGAGCGTGGACCGATTTTCCAACTAGTGGTGTGAATCCGCCTGTGTGCAAAAATCAAGGTCGCCATTTCGAAAACCAGTCGGGCATTACCGCGAATCAGAAGCACATTATCTGCGATGAGTTACTAACATACCGCTTTCCCAAAACCAGTATCAGCTAACGTTGCACACTGGATACAAAAAGCGGTGGCGTTCTCGACAAGAACGACACACTAAATCCCATCCTTTTCACCGAAACGCGTTGCACACTGGATACAAAAAGCGGTGGCGTTCTCGACAAGAACGACACACTAAATCCCATCCTTTTCACCGAAACGGCCCGTGTCCTGAAAGGATATTGGTTTCTGAGTTAGATTAGTGTTTTTAGAATGTCTTTTGACGTTCTCAAACCTACTAGTCACGTATCATGCACAAAACGGGGACTAATGGGAACATAGTGTGCAAGAAGGTTAGAAAACCACCGGCTAACGAAAAATCCCGATATTTCGGAATCAGTAGAACGAATGCGTCGGGTCGCCGGGCTTCAAACCGCAGCGTTTCATCAGGTTTGAACATTCCAGTAGGCAACAAAGATGGAAGTCAGAGAAGGATACCAAAAACCCCGTGAGGGAGGCACTTGTTCGAGGGACACTCAGAAATTCACACAGCTGAAGCCTCAGCAACGTTATCAGTACAATGACTAGTAGGAAACTTCTGCATCACGGCGTTGGACATCCAAGTGACATGAACTTCAAAAACCATCTCTCACTTGACCGAAAAAGCGCCTTAAATTTTTTTCTGCCCCCCCCCCCTTCGCCCGATGAAAAGTGTTCAACGGTAATTACCCTAAAAGTGCACACTCGTATAGCTCAATGGCTGACCATGACCACCAGAAAACTGTTTAGAAGTGACAATGATTTAAAAGTGCAAAGAACCCAACACGGATCAAAACATACCTGCCACTCGCGATGGCATCAGGGATAAGAAGTCTGTCTTACTACCTTCACCTTGGGATTACTTCAAACTCGTGCAGTTATTTAAGTCAACTTGTTGAATCACCGGCCTCAAACTGTCCCGGGAAAAAGCCCCATACTCGGCTTTGTAGTTCAACTAGGATAAATGGGACTCAATTTGGAAACCGTGCCGGCACACACCTGAAAGACTGTGGTTTCAAGGTTACAACACACTAGCACTACCGAGATACGTCTTGAGTGTTGGTTAGCGGATCGTCACCTAAGTGGGTGAAATGAGAGCATAAGTTGGACGACCGAGCCCATATAATTGACAGAATCAGGACCAATCCTCATCGTGGACATCAGCTCATGGTCGGTACGAACATATCCCGTGGAAACGAAAGACAAGCGAACCAACAATAGAATTAGCTGGTTCCGGTATCTGGCGACTGAGCTACAGTGAGGTTGCCATTCCTCGCGGAGGGTGCAGCATGATTCCGATCATACCCTTATGTAGACTTGGCAAGCAACTCACTTTTTCAGCGTCGAATGCAGCCGCCAAGTCATTGCAATGAAACTGCATATGGGCAGCCATCTGAGTTAGCTGACTAAAGCTGCCCGAAAGGTGAACGCAACAGGGCTATGGAAGGTATACCTTAGCTTTCGGTTTCACTTTCCAAGGATAAATCACACCAGTCAATTGCGAATGACATAACGCACTGAGATCCCTCAACACCGGATATGTCAAAACCTGCAGAGTGGGGGCTGATGAATTCTAAATACATATTTCTCAACTTGGAAGACGAGAGACAGCAAAGCAATTTATAGATGACGGAGCAGCTCATTTGCAGATGTGTTCGTTTTGAGCCACGGGTATATCACTTCGGAGAGCAGTTAACCAGACTTTTCTCAACTGCGAAATAACAAAGTATCTGATGACAGCTAGCATTAGCAACAAGAATGAATCGCGAGATGTCACTCCATCGACCACCGCTCGGATGGCTTGCACTCAGTATGGACACTGACACCGACTTCCATCTCTTAGTGTCACGAGGACCCAATGCTGAAAGAACCGCCCCAACAGCACGTGAACCAGAATGCAACTCGAAATAGATGCTTGGGGGTGGTTGCTGTGGAGCCAGTGTAACTCTAGGAGTGACGGGTAACAAGAGACGACGAAATGTGGTGCAAGGCAGTCTTACTTTGTCAGTGATGCAACCAGCGAAGCATGTGCGAACATGCAACAGTGGACTCGCCGGCGGAGAGCACCTGCGCAATCGTGGAACTGGACGAAGACCAGCCACTTAGTAGAACGGCGCATTCAAAACCATCGACGGTGTTGGCACCGACAGTTAGGCGTCTTCGGCGAACTTCTCTGTTCTCCCCAGGTTGCATTGTCCACAGATGGTCCTCAGGTGCACCTCTGGAGGATGATCCAGTACCGGTGGATAAAATATGGCAACTCAACGATATATAGGACTGACCGAGTTATGTGGCTTACTCGAGGCAGCAATCACTTGACTGCAGACGACTGCACAGAGCGTGCTTCGTTTGAAGCCGCTGGAGTACAGCTTCGCGTGATAATCGTTCAGCTGTAGCACCCTTTTGGTGCCTAACTGCCATGCCACCAGAAGGAAGCACGGGGGCTGAGATACTGCCAGGTTGCCCAAGCCTAAACAGGGGGTCGAAAGGCAGAGTTCGGGTTCGTACCACGGACATTCCGGTCAGTAAATTCGCGCTCTAACCACTGCGTGATAACACCCTTTTGGTGCCTAACTGCCATGCCACCAGAAGGAAGCACGGGGGCTGAGATACTGCCAGGTTGCCCAAGCCTAAACAGGGGGTCGAAAGGCAGAGTTCGGGTTCGTACCACGGACATTCCGGTCAGTAAATTCGCGCTCTAACCACTCGCGTGATAACACCGACGAACTATATAAGCACGATGACAACGGCAACTTGTCCGGATACATTACTGCACTTTAGAATGACCCTGGCGCAGAGGTGCGCCAGATAAAATATCATGTGCAAGTTCTGCTCAGGCATGTGTTGTTTCGAGTTGGAGTGTACGGTGGACGACCAGGACGGTAACTTCGGACGGCTTTGTAGCAAGTTATTCTCGCATCTAATTTACCGAAATATCATAACCAAGTGATGATGGGTCAACCGGATCATCTGCATTTTCGCTGGATTTCATTTCCGAAAAAAGCGCAGATGGATGGACAATAAGCTTCCGAAGCAGGTTACTCACACGCCCCTCATTGCACAAAGACTGGTCAACAATTAACAGGGCGAGCTACCATTGTTGGAAAAGCAACCTCATGAACGTACAAGGCTTGTGAAAATAAATGCAACGATACTTCCGGAACGGAGGTTACTCAACTGATCCCGCCAAACCAACTGGTTTACCCGGAAAGCCTTCACTGAATTTAATTTTGAACAAACATGACTTAGACGTGCTCGAGATGCAACTGGAGACTCCGATCTAGGAATTTGAGTATCCATCTAGGGAGAGCACCACTTGAAAGTCAGAAAAAGCATTTGTTTCGCGGTCTTCCCAGTTGGTAGACTAAACCACGGAGATGTCTCCGGTGGCTGCTATGTCACGAGAACCAATTAGCGCGAGTTGGGTTCTTACGGCCGACATAAATATGAAACGTCCGAAAGGACCATACACTCTTCCTCAGATCCCAGGTCATACTCCAACTAACCACAGTGCCCACCCATCAGTAGTGACGGAGTCCCGTCATTGTCTTGGATCTCAACATAGCTCATCTGCATCCAAGGTCTGTACATATCGTCGTAACTTTGAGCCAGATATGCATAGTACGACCGAACTGGAGAACTCGCACAGCGTCACATGGACAATCACTTCACTGGTGGAGTGACTAGCCCGCGAGCCTTAAGCGTCAAAATGTGTACGTCAACCGGTAGAAGCGTGAAAAAACTGGTTTTTATTACGTCTAACGCGAAACGATTTGGTGCGGAAATCCCGCAGCACGTTCGAGGTCAGTGACACCCTGGTTGGGGAATTCATAGCCCCACTGTCGATAACAACATCTGTCGGATGCATTCGAAGATGTTACAGCCACCAGGAATGTGTTACCGAATCAGATGTGGTTACGTAGAATGCCCCGCACTCGACCTACATCGGATCTTGGACATAAGAGCTGTCCAACCTTTCGCCAGAAGCGGATCGTAAGGGAGACAAGAGGATTTTGAGTACCTTTTGCAAGAGCCCGGTTTCCGCAAAATGAAGCTGCTATAAACGAGGAACACGTTTAACTCCTGTAAAGTTCATCCGTTGTTTTTGTCATGCTACTTAGCATAGCGCTGGAGGCGGTAACTGATGTTAATCCCATCACCTGAATGGTGACTGGTAGCGGAACCGTCTGCATCCTTACCCGCGACCCATCTAAACACGAATCCTATCAAGAGGCGGAAGTCGTGTTAATATTTTAGGATGGGAGTAGGTGACACCGAAAGTTGCTCCTTCAACATATTTGTTGGTTGCAATCGGGCACTGCCAGCAACCAACCACTGATAACGAGTGACACAGGGAGAAGCGGGGTCTGCCAGAGAAGCATCAGTGTTGCGTAACACTCGTGCTGTCGATGATGACACAAGAGGACTGCACGGCACTCATACTCACTTAAACAAGGAACGACTTGCCTCCAGATTCCACACGTTCAGCGGTTGTCGAGGTTCACCCAATTTTCGAACAAGCCTTTACATGACATTTAGGGAGAACACCAAGCAGCCGAACCACAAAGCGTAAACACCCAAAACCACCTGAACTAAGCACTTCTATTGCAGCTGAAGAACTGATAAGTTAAAGCGTGGTCGGACGTTCGTTAACTGTGGAATTCAGATACTGACAAGTCAACAGAACATGATCTGAGAGAACTTAATGCATCCCATGACACTTTCGGATGCCTGAATTGTCACCCCAGAGTAAGTTAGCGACTTGGAACGTAAGGGAGCGGTCAAACTGCGTGGGTCGGTGATCTTTGGGAATTTTTCTCTCAAAGCTCAAGTGAGTAATGAGGGTCACGGGGTCCAAAGTGGAGTACCTGGAATCTGGATACCTATTCTATGGCACCCAAGGTACTGGATATCCGCGCCGTGTAGCAGGAAAAGGTTTGTTGCGCGCAGCCGACCATGGAGTTATATTAGACGTTCTGTCGGCGTATGAGTAGGTACTGATGACACGTGGATCCCCCCGATTTCTAGCACCATGAAGAGGAAAGGCGTCTAGGTATAATAATACCCTTTCGGTGCATAGCTGCCACGCAATAAGGTTGATACCGTAAAGTTGTCCGAACATGGAAAGTAACAGTCGAGATGCCAAGGTTAGGATGGAATCATACCTCCTGGTTAGAAAGTCTCCAGCTCTCATCTCAGCATAACACACCGGCACCATTCAACTACTCCCGGGAAGTAGACCCTTGAAAAACCATCAAAGTAGCGATGGATAATTCGGAGCTCTGCAAATCGTGAGCTTGAGGACTTTTGGAATGACAGTCGGATATTAACTGGGCAGTAACCACTGCGCTGCTGACCGAATTCATGAGTTTGAACCGTGACACCTATTCTGATTTGTTTACTGTTGTACAAATGCGTGGCTACCACCATCATACGCAACGGTAAACTGGCGGTAGATAAGGACACTTAGATGCCGTACATTGACGGAAAAGCGGAGTGAAAAGATCCAGGGAGCGCAAAGCGGAGGCACGTTGGTAAACATAGCCCCCACTCCGATGACTGGGACATCCGGTAAGCCGGTGAGTTGTTGGAGCGTTCCATCCTTTACGTGGCAAATCAATGCAATTACGCTTCACTACAACACATTCGAAATAGGCTCATGTATTTCTAGATCAACCGGAGACAAAACTCTCAAGATTGGTGTTCACTAACGACCCATGGTCAATTCTACATAGATTGGGATGTTCGATAACTTGACCACGAAGCAAACGACAAGTGATTGATCACTGAGCGTGTCGTTTGAGCCTGATCTGAGATTAAATGTGCGACAAGCAGACATGCTCTCTCGACCAAAGGGGATAGAGGATATATAACTAGACGAACCTTATGGTTGTACAGCTGTGAAGCATCAGCGCCAACACTAACGTTGCTGTCTAATGATGATGATGATGCTGTCGTTAAGTCCCGTGACGACTGGTTACCAGTACCATCTACCTTGACTCATGGATCGTCGAAGCGCCGTCATCTCCAACAGCGTGAATGAACAAGGGACAAGAACACTGTTCGGAGGTTGTTGAACAGAAAACGCTGTTTGTCATAGACCGTGAACAAAACCATCTACGTAGTTCAACCCAACCTATTTCCAACACCTGGAACACTGCTTGAAAACCCATACAGGCGACCACATATCCGGCATGGAGAGCCGAAGACACTGGAGTACACAACTAGAGTCGTTTCCACATTCAAACAGTGCGGCATGATGTTTAACGCATCAACGCCCACCAAACAGGATTAAATCTGGACAAATCCATGATTGTCAGCTATTCCACATAACACAGAAATTAACAAACACTAACCTAACCAGCACGATCAGTTTAAAAGCAAACCAGCAGTCGCAGATTATCAACCACCTTAACTCCCATCAGTAAACAACTGTCTAAGAGTTGGACGATTGCGTACGAAGGCTTCTTAGTACAAGTTGTAAGCTGCCACTTGATTCTGGAAAAATAGATTTTCAAATGATTCAAGGAGAAATAGAAGTCAACCTACCGGTGACATGAGGTTCCTAAACTCTGGAATCCCTCTACACAGTGTCGCTAACCCGTATCTATGAATTGAGGAGTGAAACAACGGTCGAAATGGACAGGTACGTGTTACGTAGATGCAATTTAGCGCAACCGAAAGCCCTGTGGGGCATGCTAACTTCCGGTGCATAAAAAGCCAAGTTTGATGGACTTCAAAGGCGTCCAGCTAACAGGACATGGGTCCATAAGTTCGTTCCGCCTTGCAAGTTCAGTCAGAACCTAAAAGGAACCGGTTGACGACAGAGACCAACGGTAGGAAGCGATACTTCCCACGTACGTAAAATGAATATGGAGCAGTCTCAAACACAAAAACATCCCGATGTCTCCAATCGAAAAGAACCTATTCACTTGGAAGACCCAATCAACTTCCGGCCAAATTTAACCAAATGCCACAGGATCTAGGAGGTTGGAGACCACAGCAAATTACAAACAAGCAGCTTATCATTCGCTGCAAGACTGTGACAATACTTTAGTGCCTTAATGTTGTGCAGCTGGGAGGAGGTGAAATGCTTCAAGGCACTTCTGGAACATAGTGAAATGAAGTGGTTCATCCGGAGCTATACCGAAATTCACGGGAATGTGTACCTTGTTCGAAAACAAAAATCAATAGGTGTTCCCGAATTCAACATCAACCACAAGCCCCCAAAAACGTAGACACTGCTCCGATACACCACTAGTGCACAACCCAGAAACATTACGGTCAGTATACTGTTATACTGCTCAGGATTGGACAGGAACACCCGAAAATCCAAGGTTCAAAATTCATCCTGAGGTTGGGTTGAACAAGCCGCAGATATTAGGTACACTAAGCTCAGCACACCCCGACAACAGAAATTTTATGGATTAGCGGATGCAGGTTGTGCACTGGAGCAGAATCATGACAAAACTGACCACTTCAAGTTCGAGCACCATCCAACATACTTGTTTTCAGACGTTCGGCGGAACGGCGTGAAAAGAATTAACCTAGGGTTTTCAAGCCCCGATTCGAAAGGCCACCCGACTTTGTGGAGCAGCATTAACACTGGTTCGACTCAGACAAAAATATGGCAACTATCAGAAGGCTAAAGATCCTTACTACTGGACACTCCTAGCCATACCGGACTTTGAACAATAACTGACCTGTGCATTGCACTGAAACTAAGAAATTATACTCTTCGAATATCCTCAAACAAAGTTGATATCATTATTCAACAGGAAGCCACCGACACGAAATAGGGAGGGAGCTTTTCAAAAACTGATACCTGCTGTACTTCTCAGCCATTCAGAATATAATGCTCCTGCTGGAACTTTAGTCAGGAAAATTTCAGCAACTGCCAGCGTTCGTTATCTGTAGTTGACTCCCCAGACTAATTTCCACCTAATTCTCATGTATTACCTTCCAAATGTTGTGGCGCGCCTGGCACATGTAGTAGCGAGTGCTGGATGCCGTTCACCAATTGCAGCAACAGGGGTCTGGTAGCTTGTAAGATTCACAAAGACTGGGTGATCGTTAGAACGAATGCCGCAATAGTGGGGTTGCTGTCACAGTTGTAACACGCTTTTAGTGCCTCCGGTGGAAATCCCTTGCACAGGGGATCTTGCACAAAGGTTGGCCATCACTAAATTATTTCTGACCACAGCTTTTATACGTTATTTAAGCGTGGTATCCAAACGAGACAGTCGATCGTGAGCGCAGATAGACTTGGTTCTGTAGGGGTCCAACGACTATGGGCGTACGGTATGAAGAGTTGACAACGACCGTTTGAGAGCTCAAGAGGGCTCAGTGGTTAGGGCGCGAACTTATTGGTCGGACGGTCCGTGGTTCGAAAACAACCTTGTATACCGACTATTTCCGCCTAAGATTGGGAACCTCAGTCCTTGTACCTGCGTCAATTGGCATGGCAGCCAGGCGTTGAGAGACCACAGGTGACTACCTTTTCATTACGACTGTTGGCCCAAGCTCATCCCACGCAACCTTTAACTGACGTACACAAGCCAAACCAAATGGCTCGAAAACAACCAAGCAGTGATACCAACTGGCTGCGTCATCTTCAGCAAAATTAAAGATATCGACTCCCTATGGTTGTGCGGATTACATAAAAGTGAACGCGCGTTCTGTTACCATATATATGCCCCAACACTGTTCGCGACAATCACGAATGGGTTGAATTCAACCTACAGGTGGCCGAATCGAGTGAGAAAAAAGGACGCAGCAAAAAGGGTAGGCAACTCATCAGCGGGCTCATGAACTGGGGCACATCTCAGCTGCAGTACCCCGATTAGTCAACGCTGAACCCAAAAGAATTGAGTTTATGAATCGACTTCTTACGTTCGATATTTGGAGTTCTTAGCGAATAATTTACGTAGTGAGTGCAAACAGGCAGTTGAAAAGCGGGGTCAGAGACCCGAATCTCCCAGCGTCAAACTGAGACTGAAAAGTTCAATGGTAATTGTGAATGGATTTAGTGTTAGCTTCATCGATGAGTGAAGGTTAATATCTCTAAGAGGTAGACCGCATTGCCGATGATAGCTAGTTTCTGTAGCTGAGAAAGATTACCCACAACCTGTAATATTACAGGTTAAAACATGAAGGCACTCATACAAGCATAGACGACGACTCATGAAGATATCAAACTCGGCAGGGTAAAGAGTGGAATGATTGACTGATCACACTTTCAGGGAACAAAAACTGGAGTTCACGATTTGGTATTTGGGAACATTTGACATGCGCATATTGGGACCCATAAATCGGCCATCTACATCAGATTATGAAATTCCCCATGAATCTCACTAATGGTTGAACAACGGCAATTCAACCGAAACTGGAGAGAAACATGTGACCTTCCAGTATTGAGGCAGAAGTCGGTGTATCTATCACACATATATTTGTAAGGTTGTCCATACAAACAACGTGTGGATACCCATAACTCAATTGCAGGGAAAGAATCGTTCCTAGGGTCTCTTTGATGAATAGAGACCAGAGGAACCCGCAGATCAGAACCCTGCGCAAACGACACTTAAAAACACCCAGTGAAGTCACAAAATACTCACTTCTGTGAGTAAACCTGTTCCCGTTGCAGCCAGAAAAGATCTTCTCAACGTGACGACAGCTCAAATACATCTCAATTAACCCACCCTCGAAACCAGCGATCCGCCCGTAACTCACCTTCTGAGAACTAATTAAAGCATCCCCATTGTTTCGCTTGAATAACTGACGCTCCAGAGACAGCTCTTTCCGCCGTATGTCGTCCACTGAGACCCGATTGACGTTAACTACGCAAAATGAAAATAAAACATAGTTGGTGAATTGCGAATAAGCACATCAGCCGGCGCTCAGAGAAGCGGGATCCGAGCAACGCGAAGAGCAACTGACCTCTCTCGGACTCATCAAGCTCAAAATAAAAGAACGACTGCAACTTGTCCTCGTCAGCCCAAGAGACTCGCTTCTTGGGTCTGCTTTCGGAGGAGAAAGACGAGGACAATGATGTCATGGAAGACTTCTTAGTGCCCATCCCAGATGTGCACGGCGATGGTGAATCTTTTTCAGTGTTACTGTCTTGATCCATTGCTTCAGATGAGCAATTAGAATCGGCATCCTTTACCTGCTGAGAATGAGAAGGAAATCAGAGAATCGCACCTGTATCAAATCACTAGAGAAGGCCTCGGTTTTGAGTGGGGGCAATTTCCGTTTCTTCCGTACCACAGAACAAGGGGCCGTAGTGAGCGCATTGATAAAATCTGGGCTTTCGTGAATCTCAGCAACCACTAGCACATGTGTTAGAGTTCTATAGTTTGCTTACCTTTTCGGGGTTCAGTGGGTGTCACAGTAATCTTCTGGTGGAACGACTCTATTGGAAGCTCTGATATCAGTTTGGACTCCGTGTCCAGTTTACTGCCAGAATTAGCCATGAGAAATAAAACCACCCACCTTTTCTTTGCCAGCACCTCAGATCGTGACTTTGGGTGAGTATGCGGTACATCTTCTATACCCGCCGTACGCATTAATGTTGGAGGCATTTTGACGGTTCTAGGACGCTTCTTGTCATGTTTCACGTCATTTGTTGACATTGAGTCATCGGATTTAGGGATGATATCCAGGCGTTTTTTCTTCGATTCTGCGGCTAGGAAATCACAAATGACAGGCGGCGACCTACTTTCAAGACGTCTTGAGTCAGAACTTATGACACCTTTCCACTTTTTCACAATCTCTCCTGCTAGAACCCGTACCGCTGAAAGAATAAGCTAAAACCTGAGGGAGATTTACCATCATGCTCACATCGCTTCGTCAACGAATTGATGAGCTTAGGGCAGACATTTTGAGTTAGCTGTTCAAGTCTGACAGGTAGCACACGATAGACGTTCAACAACTCCATGAGAAACGGAACATTATCTTCCTTCAAGGCCTCTTGTAGCCACTTCAGTAAGATGTCCCACGCACCCTCTTTGCATAGTTTGGACTGAACATCCGATACAGATGCCGAAATAATGCACAAGGCAATGCATTTAGGGACCAGTTTCCCATTGGTTGACTTCATCAGCTCAAGCAAATGGGGGATAGACTCCAGCATGATACCTCCATGTTCACTCAAGTGAGAACGATACTCGTTCAGTAGCCGTTCGGGTTCAGTGATTGCCTGATTAAAGAGAAAGAGTGGAACGTCATACAACACAAAGGTGGGCGTTACATTTCGATGAGGAAACGGCCATCCGAGAACAAAAACGCACAACCAACCAAATGTACAAATGGAATGTCCTTTGTTAGGATAAGGATATGATTACGCAACTTGTGGAGTACGGGGTATGCTGGAAGACAATAATGGGGTCATAGGGCATTCGGAAAATCGGACTCAACGCACTCGATGCAGACAATACGGAATGCAGAACCCGCTAGGTAAACGATGTCGTCCGTAGTGTGGAGGTTGTGGTGATACTATGTTCGTTGCGCCAACCGACGCAATAACATGACTAGTGATGTCAGCGGGCGCAATCCCAGTGATATCAGGATTAACATAAACATCGGAACCACCTATGCGTCACCAAGACTATTCGCAACTTTCAAGGTACGCCCGTCAAGACAAAAAACAAACGGGGTCCAGTGTGCAGGCTTTATGAGCAGATGTGTGTTGCGGCACCAAAAACATTCCTCACACTTCCCCCTTAAACGGTATAACGTGGAGCAGGTGAAAAGTAGAGTTTTACATACACAAAAACAAATATGAGCGCTGCGAATATCAACCTATCCAGTCCCGTGCACCCTTTTAGTGTGTGGACAGAATTCATCCCTCTTTTGATGTTACCTAGACATTCTTGTAAAAACTGTCTGCAAGGTTGACAGAAACCAATAGCCCACAATCGGTTTCATCCTACCTGGATTTCGTCACGGAGGAGTAATCACTAGCTTCCGTAGACTGCTTCTCCGGCTGGGCAGAATTAGGACCACTAACTTACATACACATATTGATGACATAAGGCACAGTTGGAGGCTTTGCTTACGATAAGGAATGTGTACAACTTTGACTACATTTAAGACCGGTGAAATCACGGAGACTGCCGGACCGACTCTGAGGCCAGGACTAGCTACAGAAAATGAGTATTATAGACGCTGCTCTTTAGTTATTTAGACAGTCTGCAACAATTGAGTGACTTCAGTTCATTGTCTGGATGAATAATCAACGGAACTAGCATTGCCCATAGGTGAGTTTGCACTCAGAGGTCAGTTGGTATCATCAAGCACATTGACCACAAACACTAAATCCAGGAAAATTGAATTGACTGTTTGCACCGAACAAGTTCACTTTAAAAAGGTTTGGCAGATCTGCCAACAATGAGCATGTTGACCTTAAATTCGGAACGATTTTAAACCGCAACTGATATTGTCCTCCATGTTTCAAATGTAACTTTTCATTAATGGATTATTTTTTTCTACCGGGTGACCCTTCGCGATGCAACTTCTCCCAACTCCGAAGCGAAGGCCTTCTTCCTCTCAACATGGGCCAGGTCTGTAGCCACCGAGGTTAGCAGTTCGGTACTAGCACCAGGAACGACAGCAATCATGTTGATACAAACAGCCAACTACCATAGCCAGTTAGTTCACGAAACCTCACTTGTCAGGTTTCTTAGAGCTCTTCGAAGACCTACGATTCAGCTGGGATTCGGTTGTCTAGTGTTATAAGCAAACTAACATCTCGCAGATATTCGGAGTTCATGAGTGAAAAACGATGAAAACTGGATGAATGGGTCAGGCACCTGTCCATTATGTTTTGTGAGGGGCTACAGCTCTGGATGTTTAATCATCATAGGAAAGACTGACCGGTTAGACGCCATTTAGGAATGGATATAACTCTATTCAACGCGAAGACTCCCCCGGGTCCGAGTACTTATACCATATTATGCGGCTTACACTAGAGGCGTTTCTGAGGTCCGCGCCTACTAGCTGAACAGCCAGTCAGCCGATGCCAACCACGTCTGCCTGGTGAGCCCAAACAGGAGCCCGTATGTTCAAGCAGTAGGTTTAAAAAGACCAGATCCCGGGAAAAGAACTCGTCTTTTGGGTGGCTGTTAGACAGGAAGCATTACGAATATTGGTCACCGTTACTCTCAATACCCAAGCTTATGATGAACGCAATTCTTTCGTTGTCGTCTTTACGCAGTTCTCACATGGTCACATTTGGCCCTCCCAGCAAGCTTAGATTGGATGTGGCCCCAAAACAAAGAGGAAACAGTGCGACAGCTGCAGGAGAAACCACCGGTAGACAGCTTCGAATATAACATCTCTACGAACAGTATACTATCAGAGAAAAAAAGCATAGAGCTAAGCCTTTAGTTCGCTCAAATACAACTACAGGGAACGGTCGGCTTTACCATTGGAGCGCTATTCGTGGGCACTGTGTATTTAGACTGACAATTGATTGCTTGATTGTTAGACAAGAGTGTGCAAGAGTGGTGGGCGCCCTGTCCGGTTTGAAGTGAATTTAGATGATTCGTGCTTTTCATCCGCTTAGTTGGATCCTCTAGTATGAGCCCTCTCGCTCAAGGCAGTATTAGGTAGAGGCAACTGGGCATCTTTTGAGGAAACTTCAAACGGTGATTACCGGGCAACCAGCGGCTGTCAAGTCATTGAATGATACCTGTAACGACTCTCATCTCAGCGGCTTCACTTCCTCATGGTGGTTATAGGCCTAACAAGGTACCTCTGCACGACAGATGAAACTTTTGCAGCACTACGCCTTCGGTACGTGCCACTAAATTACGTTCACGAACCCCTTCTAGAACAAAAGGTGGAAGGAGACCAAGTGCTCGGGCTATCCACTGTCTGGTCTGGATAGACCAGATGACCTGGCGCAAGGGGTTACATGTGACTTGCAGGAGTACCCAAGGTTACACTAGTGTCATGAACAGATGACAAATGACAGGATTATCAGACTCTTACTCTGTGGACTATGCACTGGTTTTCCGAGGCCGAGGAAGCATACTGGGGGCGCCTGGTGCTGGTCTCCGTTCGGAAGTGACATCCGCGAAGGGATCCCTGACATTCGGGGATCGAAAATGGCTAGAAAGGGGCGACCTTTTTACAGGAACATTTCGAACCCCAACAGCCCAGACATCTTACGATCAACCACTTGAAATGAGGTAATACTGATACATGCTTTCCACACCACGTCCGATGGTGACCGTACGAAGTATGACTACTGCCACACAAACCAGTCGTAACCTTTAGCACTTTTTCAAAGCGTTAGGTGGTTCTTCGTTCAGTAGCACCATGCGGGTAATTCAATGAAGACTTTACCGTCAAATGTGCATAGCACTATACAATCCGAAGAAAGCACAAGAGTTGAGTGATTGATGGATTCAAGTCCGTACTTGTGAATTACATGGATGCATCGGCAAAGGGCATCAGATTACTTGCTACTGAGCTAAAATTCCTTCCTGTCCAGAGCCACCTGACCTTATACCTTTTAGCCTGTTTTCCAAACATCAACAAGGACTCTTACGTAAATTCCCTACACTTCTAGGTATTAATACGGTCGTGCATATAAGATCGATTGACGATATGGACTTATCACGCCGAACAGACGAAAGATCCATGTGGGGGGGGGGGCTGCTTGCATGGAGTCTTGAGTTCGATGATAGCTAATCCGGCAGGCATACGTTAGTCGCCAACACTTCACAACTAATCCGAAGCGTTGCCCTGATTACATCAATTACCGCAAAACAATCGCGACCAGGTGCCCATTACGTGATAACGTGAGGCACCACGAAGGATGTCTTGAAATGTCCTGTAAAACAAGATAATTCCGTGACCATGTCGCCTCAATTTCGCGGGTAGCTCCACCTTCACTGCATTGTACAGCCCCGAACCGAATGGCATTAGCGATACTGTAAATGGAACACTTTTAGGTGACTGGCTGAAATGGTTTCCCTTACCGCAGAGGTCACCGGCCGAAAGCATTCTATCCCGAAGGAAATGTAAACGAATATACCCCTAGTTTTGTGGCATTTATTTTGCTTGGGATGCAGTATCTGAAAAGCGAACTCCTCTCGAATGGAAACGACTGCAGCTAATCCAACCATAGGATCCAGGGAAAACGTATTACCAACATCACCGAAGGTTGGCACTGTCATTGACGCTTAGCTGCCGGCAGTTCGAACTGACCATTCCAACCGCGACGCGACAAAGAGCGATGGATCGGCGCGAGCGACTTCCCCACGTATGGAGGATTACACAAGCCAGAGAACCATGGACTGCTTTCCCATCGAGCAAAGGTCGGACGCCAATAGGCCTTGAAGCTATATGCGATATCAAGGATAGTTATGCGTTGTAACAAGCACTGATGGTGGCGAAACCGAACAGTCAGGTAACAACGAAATCCGCTGCATCCCCAATGAGGGGCCCAAAAGTGTGCGAACAGTCCAGCATGATCAACGCTGAGGGCACTCAGTAGTCAGTACACCAGCTAGGAGATAACTTGCTCACAACGCACACAAACAGCTCGTACGATCAAAGGAAACAAACAATTGCCTTGTCACTCCAGAATCGCCTAGTGGACTTCTTGCAAAGGGACTAGACTGCGAGTCCGACGGACGAACAGCACATTTCCCTTCAGGAATATCTACGAAAATGTAATAAAACACTCCATATTCCCCTGCTGTAGCGATTTTGACTCATTATCAAGAATCCCGCATGGAACACTCCATTAAGAACATGCCAGCGAATCACCTGACGCCCTTAGTAACGGATAGACGGATGTGGTTGCGCAAGCTCATCTTGCTAGTTTCGCATCTGTGATTTGGAAAAGTAGTAAATAACGAGTGGTTGAGAATTTAAAGTGCGAGCCTTTTGGCTGGTTTACTCGAACCACAATGTTTGTGATAAAAACGGGATAATTTATGGAAAGCGGACGGGAGACGGTATGCTGCAGCAGCTTATTGGAAGGGACTGATGTGTCCATAGCTGGTGCCCACATTAATGGCCAGTAAATGATGGAGGGTAAGAACGGAGCATGGGATGTTACGAGTAACCTGTTTCCGTAGGCCACCCATGAGCGTGTAGTACGTTATGCGACTCCGTGGAAGTTGCCACACGAAGGTAAATTTTGCATGAAATTGTTCGTGAAATAAGCCAGGGCATAACGATTGGGGTTCTTGGAGTTCGATAGCACGTCAGTCGCGGTTGGAATAAGACCATAACAGTTTCCAAAGAATACCGCCAGAAAAAAGGAAACTTGTGTCATGATGACGAAATGCAATCAGGGACACCAAGTGATAAAGGTGATCATGGAAACCGAAAAGCAGTCTGCTAGTCGCTACAGAGCATGCCCTCTACCATCGATTTCACGAGTCTAGCTTAGTTGTTTGGCTCGCTAACTGATCCACGATTTATGCGATGCCCATGATGACAATGGGACGGAATGACCTAAGCTCGTACTTTTCCGACTACAACTGTAATCAGGTTATACGTGAGACGGAAAACCTATGTAACAATCAACCTGCGAAAAAACATCGCTCGAACAAGTTTTTGGAATGTCAGTACGGTCTGTCCTGGTAACTCAGCAAGTAGGACCACACTTGTAACGTTCCTGCCATTTGTCGTCAAACATATTAACACATATCGCAATAGCACCGGGTGAGGACGATGGTGCTTCACCGTCGTAAGACCATGTCGATCTATTTCAACAGAACCTTATTATGGAAGCAGATCAGCAAATCTTACGGAAAGAAGCCTAGGACTGGCAACCTACAACACATCCGAGGTGTCTCCAAAGCTCAACCGACCTGGAATGAGACTGACAGCATGAACGTCGATTGGCTGCAGTATCGCTCCCTAGCCAAGCGAAGCACCATTGTTAAACAATATCATACTAACGATGATGGTTAACGCACGGCCATAACAAGGGTCACAAGCTGGTGGCGTGGTTCACAGCGGAAGGTTCAGTGCCCGAGGCAAGTTAAGCATAATGAAAAAGGTCAGAGAAGAGATTCGACCATACCGGAGACTATTTCAACTATCTGAACTATTTGGTTACGGATTACCAACCACGTAATCCAGTTTTTATGGCCCGCATAATTAAACATAACATAGTGCAGTATTTTAGGACCTTCTAAGAATTTCCAATGCTCCACGTTCAATATACTCCAGAATCGAAGTAAATGAAATAGCATGCATAAAACTACATCCTGACTGGTGCACCTATTGAGAAACAGTAGTCATCACTTCATTTCACCAAATCAATGCCGTGCGGGTTAAGTCGGGCATGAGGGAGGTGCACATGCACGTCCCTGACGTTTTTCAGTATTGACTCGCACTCCACATGGAAGGTTGTCGCTGGAAGCCAATTTGGCTTCCGAAGCAATTAGGCGACATTATGCGCGTCGTGCAAAGTAGCGATGAATTGTATCAGATCAAAGGGGACCTTACTGGTGTTACGGGGCCGCCGAGATTATCGGTCCGCATATATGGGTAGCAGTAGAGAAACTATGTTGTGCGGCCAGTTTTGAACGTGCGGCTAGTTTCGCATATGCATTTCTGCAAACCTACACCCCGTATCTTGGTACGGCTTGCAAGGCACGAACATCCAACGACGGACAGTCGCATGAGTGAATACTATCAAACATCTAGACACTTTGAGGCACCCAAAATGAATACGTTTGAGACAAGCGACAACCTTTCGACGTGCAGTTGAGACCTGCACTACTATCACGCGCTATTACCGTCTGTCCTATAGGCACCGTCTGTCCAAAGAGGCACAGCAGGCAGGTGAATACGTCGCATCGGTTTAGGTAAATATTCGGGTCACTCGGACGTAAAAACAAGCCTCCCACTAGGACACTAGAGACCGGCGGCGTCCGGCGATTATGGAAGCATTCCCTATTATTAAAAATCCGGTCTGAACAGCGACTTCCAAACGACCTAGACGATTTGCACCTAGGATGATGCACGGTTGGAGGCCACCTGAGTGTGCCATTACTAAGTCTATGGGACCGAGCAACTTAAGACGTTCCTAATGAGGGATAAGGGTTCTTAAGACACATGCACAAGAATGGACCAGAAGATATCATGAGGACAGATGCCAAAAAGAAGCTAGGTACCTGACCGTCTTCAAACATGTCCTCCCACTGCACCATGAGAAATCGGGTCAGACACTCTCTGTTCTATAGATGATTCCACTCACTTTCCCCGTGTTACTCGCGAGGACATCCAAATTCCCTATGGGGCCTAAGTCAGACCGTTGAATGACAACCAAGTTGCCCACTCAGGACGCAACCCTCATTAAGACTGTTCAAGGAGATACCCAGTTTGAACGTTTGGCCAACAGGTTTTTCGGTGTCGATCCAACTAGCACACACCGTGAACATGGTAAGATTCTCAAGCTAGGGGCGGTTTTATTGGGTGATTTTTTTTCAGTTGGGGAAATCGCTGCGTAGACTAACCTTCGTCTGACGGTCGTCCACGCTTCTTTGGAACCCAGTTCAAAGCACTACTAGACGCTTTCCTATGTGAGCCTCCACTTACTGTCCTTATACTTAAAGATTAGCGCTACACGTTTTTTCGCTTGTGAATTCCAGTGAACAGAAAAATCCCACCAGGTTAACTCGGGCAAACGCCTAGACCCGAGATCCATTTCACATTGTTCGACTGTCGAGTTTACTAAGCACCAGCTGAAAATAACCCTTAGAGTTCTTTGCTGACAGCAAACTTATCACGATAAGCAGTCCATCGGATCTATTCACCGTGCGACAGTTAGCTAACTACGGCAATTTGACGGTTGTTCTAGAAGAAGTCACCATACCAAAACGAACTCATAGTTCCCAACAATAAGCGTATTAATACCGGAATGTCCCTTGAGCGCTTACCATCTGCATCGGCTGGGTCAGCGGCACACGACACTGCAGGAAGTTAGGAAGGGCAACACCGAAAGCCGCCAAAATACAGGAAGCTGGAGACGTGGCAACTGTAGCGCGTAAAACAAGTATATCGTTTACTTGAAGAGACTAACGGGATGTATACAGTAATAATAATTTCTCGTGTATTGAGCAGGACTTATAACCGCATATACACTTCGGGTTGTATTTCATTCCCGCCTGAGTGACCTTGAAGGCGCCCGCTTCAAAAAACGGCCGAACCCGAAACGCCTCCCGTTTTTCTGTGGGGTAAAGAGCCGCGGGGAAAGCTCACACCAGTCTCCTTGCATTTCGAACACGCGTGACTACCACACATCGGGAACAGAAGCGTCCCCTTGAAGATTTCATATACCTCCTCCGCAAGCAAGTTTCCAACAAGCCTTCGCTCAGAATATCAGCGATAGATACACAGATGCAAGACGATTGTCAGAGATCAGCAAGTCCGAGGATTAATTTGTCGTCATATGTGAGAATTTTTACGCTTCTCTCGGAAGGCACTTGAGGAAACCTGAGTGAACAACTGCCCCCTGGTTTTATGGCGCTCAACATGGAAGTTTTGTTTGAATCAATTGGGGCGTTCGAAGAAATTTTTGTTCATTGGGAGCAGCCAAATAGTTGCGGTGGAACACGAACAGTAAGGCGCTAGAGTGTGCATGAGCGGAACGTAGCCTGTTTGGTAAGGAAAATATGACTGCCAACTAGAACAGTCCATTTTGCAGCCACAGCTACATTGGGGTGTCAAGCGGTCACTAAAAGACGTTTTCAGATTATTGTATTTATAACCAATGCCCAAAAGTCTTGCAAACCAAAATAGCTGGTAGTTAACGACTGCGCCTACTAAATCCCTTACCCATTCAACTGCACTGAATGTCAGATGTGGAATTCCGGGTGATGACGGAGTCCACGCCGCTAAACATTTTCAGGATGGGGATCGTGTGGTGAGACGATCTAGGTAGACTGGTGTAACCAACAGCAAATTCTTCCTATCTGTATGAGGAGTTGTTCAAATAAAATAGCAACCACCTCAGGTACAACTATTCGTATGGTATAACGTAATGCAGGTTGACGAGGATAACAGCAGAGAGCACCAATGTTCGGAGCCAAATGCCCTGATTTGAGTGTGCGTGCGACTAGTCAGAAGCCGACGGAGAAAGAACTGTCAAAGAACGAGTCTCCGGTGTTCTTATCGACTGAATCGCCTCACAGGTCTGGCTTTCCACCGGTGGAAGAGCAAAATTGTGGAATTAGAAACCTTCCTTATCTTAGAAACCGCATTCATGACCTTTTGGTGATTTGGCAACTCACAGTGAAATATAGAAACCTCGTATGGCGGTCATTTGCGTCCACAAGGTGTCCCAACCTTGCACATCGCGTCGCAACACATTCGAATACATGCCAACCTTCCAGAAGCACGTGTCTTCTACCCGCCGCCGGCGACTCCAGGGCTGAACTTTGATTCAGCATTTCTATAAAAACACCTTTGCCACCCGGTCGTGGTTTCCAATTTGGACTCATCCTCATTGTGCCGTGCATCTTGTAAGCGCTCCAAACTAAGCTCACCCTGTCATCCATGCCAACAAACAGTTATGGGTCGGGTCTCTTGGGCAGGCAACAGGCCACCGTTGGCTATTTTTCCAGGTAACGCACCACCAGTCGTCCGCTACTGATAGCAGTAAATAAGTAGACATAGACCTCCAGTATTACTTTTATTTTCATCTCTGTGTTTTATAGAAAAATTCCAGCTTTCCTACGACCTTTGTTCATCATCTCTTGGCGTTCATGCCAATCCATCCTCATCCATTTACCTCACACCCCTGGCCTGGTCCCGTATTAACGAAATACCTCAATGAACTCAAACCTTTCACCTTTTCTTACATTTTGGCTTCGCAACCTTGGTCCACATAAGGACCGTTGGTCACATAAATGCAGGTTCTTCGCATATCTACCTTGAAAAAAGCGTCTGTTTCAGAACAGTCCAGAAGGAGATCTGACGCCTCAGGGCTGTCGCGATTGATTTGATTACAAACCCTCCGCTGTCTGCTTCAGAACTTCGGGTCTGGTATTCTCTCTCTCACTTGAGAACACATGAAAATTTAACATTCCATGCACTTAGACCCACGCGCCTTGTCTCATAGTGATCCACTTGAGTTTGAAATCTCAATGCTCTGCAGTACAGGCCTATCGTGTTAAAAAATTCAATGATTGTAATGGGGACCACTTGATCTTACGATTCAGTAGCACCTCAACTGTGAACAGGGCTCCTGAACCTGACTTAACCGAAAACGAAACCAGTGCGCCAATCCGCTTTTATGAAATGGCACAACGCTCCGATGCAGTCTTCATTTCACCTCACTGCGATAATCTTCACGTCGCCACACCCCCATACTGTTTCCATGCCCTGGATGCTCACCCTAAATCTCGAGGTCACTTGAAGTCAGTAATGGCCTCCGGTTTTCGTTGGGATCAGTAAATTTTTAGCAACGGGATGCGGTAAGCTCAAGGTGCACACCCAAATTTTTCCAGTGTAATACTTCTAAGAAAAAATACATAAAATTTTGGCAACTTGATCAAATTAATCCAATCCTCGAAAGCCTTCTAGACGGTCGCAGTTTTTTAAGCGCACACCAAGTCTACACTCCCTCTTTCTTTTTCCCGGCCATGGATCAGCACGACTGGCCCGCGCCCCCAGGCCAAAACCGATTGGGCAAGTTGGATTTTCAACGTCTTTTTCTTCATTGCATTCAAAGGTACTTCTCAGGGGTGCATAAATTATGGGTACATCGTTTTTGTTCCTGTAAACTCGACAACGATTAGCGGCTTATTTGCGGCAAGCTGCTCTTTCATTTAATCAGCGGTCTTGCTAAACAAAGCCAAGGCCGGGAATTTTGTTGCAGGTAGCAATTTAGTGGACTTTTGTGACAGAAAATACAGAGCGTACCGTGCGTCCGATAAAGTTCCAACTTTTTGGTGCGGTAAATCTCCAAGTTTGACGACTCACCGCCTTCAGAACAGCCCCTCGGTCAACCGACAGCATACCTCTGGTGAGCCAATGATTGCGTGGCTGTGTCTTAATATGAACATTTTTACCGGAAGTCTCGAAATACGTTGCGGTGAAATTTAAGGATTTGACTACCAGCTGCTTCAATTGATCTATGTTATTGCAAAGAAAGATTGAGGTAGGCGCCTTCTTCGTTTCTTCCGAAGCTCCGCGAGTGTGGCCTTGAACTTGTGATGGAATCTTAAATAGCCGTTTTGGCCGGTATTTCTCCTCAGACACACAGAGCTAGATCTAGCTCGACGTTTCCCGGTCAGTGCCACCTTTGCAGGGACGCACAACACCAGTTATTTCCTGATTTATTATGCGAAAAAAGGAGCTGGCAGTCATGCACACCTTCGTCAAAGTCGACAGTTTTGCGGCTCTCTATGAACTCTTTGGCTGCTTTCAGACTTATGGACGGACAGTGTTGTTCTAGGATGCCATTGGTGAATGAACTGAGGTTGCGAATCGACCAACAACGGTGTGTTCGTCACAACATTATAGGGTGCTGCCTCCACGCATTCCGAGTGAATAGGATGAGTGTAGGATCCAAAATCTATCAACTTTGTTGCAGTTTACTACTACCCTCTGCTGGCACATTCAACCGTATGTTCCGCTTTGATAACACGCCGAGAAGTGAATTTTTTGTGGATTTATGAATCACTGGGACATTCCACGGGCATCCCATCCCACAGTGCCTATGGGCAATTGGTACTTAGCGCGAACCGTTGTCAGGAACTGTCTTGAGCCGGCAGATACTCACTTCTTGGAAGCCTTAATTTGTGAAAAATTGTTTTGTGCAAGAAAGTTGCATTTAACTGTATGGATGCGCACACCAGAATCCACTAGTATCAGCCTTATATCTTTTGGGATTCGTCTTCCTTGTGCTCATTCCCACTCCTAACACTGCATTTCAGTTTTAGGGTCGCAGTGCTACAGTCTCTGATACGGCCTTAGATAAGTTTGTCGAGAAATTAGCTTATGTCCAGTTTTCATCCCTTACGACATTTGAGGAAGCGTTCAGTGAATACATGCTGGATAACTATGTGATATTCGTGAGTGCATTATGTACTCGAAGCATCAACGCTATTTAGAGATACGAATGAGCATACTACAAATTCAGTAGGCAGCCAGCGAAACCATAATATATTCGATGGATCCGGAGAAGCCAGTAGGTTGAGCGTATTTGCTAATTACGAGCAGTACGCACAGCGTCGGCTATCCAGTTTGTTTTTGTCCAGTGAGATGCAGGAATCATCTCGTATTCATCTCCTATTATCTGGAACACAAACACGAGTTAACCAAGTTTTCTTACGATCTACTTTGAGTTACCCAGCGCTTGACGGAAGGGTTGTCGGGCACCTGAAGTTCCCTAGTTAAGTATGAGGTGCCGTCCTGTGAACTGCAAAAGTTTGTAACCAACGAATTCGTCAAGATCCTTACTACTCGGGACATACACAAATACCGCCGGTGGTGTTGGCTAGCTCTGTCGTGTTGGTGACGGATAGTTGGGTTTTATCGCGGCCGATGATAGTAGGAGTAACCGCTGGCGTGCAACGGACCTCGTACCATGTCACACCGACTTTTGTGGTAATAAGCCCTGTCCGCTGCGCGGTGATGCTCATCTGGCTTGTGGTAAAAATGAGCCCGTGGAAGGTTGCTTCACTTTGCGTGCCTAGCCCTCGGCACGTCCAGAAAACGCACAGGTGTGCTTGATTAACCTTATGACCTTATAATGTTGACTTGGGCCGAAACACTGAATATCCGCACAGCGTGTCCCAAAGATCTATGTAAGTCGGTGATTCCGGTTTCAAGATGAAGCTAATCGGTGGCTGTGAGTTAATGTCATAATACCAGAGCTAATGCTGAAGAGCGTCAATGAGAGGGAAGATATGACGATGGTTTCGTCTGACTCATACAAAATCCATCAGTCCTAATTTGTTCATTCATTAGTGGGACATCGTGAAGTTCAGGTGAGCTTCGTGTTATTTTAAACCCAATGGA